GAGTAGCGTGACCGGGGGCAGCGCCCAAACTCCCTGATCGCCCTGTGGCTCTGTGTGTGACAGGGGGCGGGGCCACAACCTCCCTATCCACCCTGCTCTGTTCATGAAAGGGGAAGGCACCCCAAACGCCTGATCTGCCCTGCTCTGTGCCTGATAGGGGGGAGCTCCCTAATCCCCTGATTGGCCCTGCTCTGTGTGGGACAGGGGGCAGCGCCCCAACCCCCCCTCCCCCATGGGCCCTGCTCTGTGCGTGACAGGGGGCAGTGCCCCCACCCTCTGATCGACCCTGCTCTGTGTGTGACAGGGGGCAGCGCCCCAACCCCCCCTCCCCCCTGGGCCCTGCTCTGTGTGAGACAGGGTAGAGCCACAACGTCCACATCAGCCCTGCCCTGAGTGTGACGGGGGAGTGCCCCAAACCCCTGATCAGCCCTGCTCTGTGCACAACAGGGGGGAGCTCCCCAATCCCCCTGATGGGCCCTGCTCTGTGCGTGACAGGGAGGAGCGCCCCAACCCCCCAATCGGCCCTACCCTGATCGTGATTGAGGGTGGCATCGCAACCTCCTGATCCACCCTGCTCTGTGCATGACAGGGTGTGCGCCCCAACTCCCCAATCGGCCCTACTCTTAACCCGACCAGGAGCTGCGGGGCAGGCACCTAGGGATTGGGCCTGCCCTCTTCCACCTGGAAGCGGGCCTAAGCCAGCATGTTGTTATCCCCTGAGGGGTCCCAGACTATGAGAGGGCACAAGTAGGGCTGAGGGACACCCCCCCACCCCCGCCCACCAGTGCACAAATTTTTGTGCACCGGGCTTCTAGTCTATATATATAAAAGCCTAATATGCTAAGTGTCTGACCAATTGGTAGACCACCAGGGGGCAGACACTCCAACCAGTAGGTTAGCTTGCTGCTGGGGTCTGGTCGATCGGGACTGGACAAGACGAGCTGGACACACCCTGGAGCCCTCCTGCGGTCCCTCCCTAGGCAGCCAACCTCCCACGGTCCCTCCCTGGCCAGCCGGCCCCCATCGGCCCCAGTGATCGCCAGCCAGGACAAGGGACCCTACCGGTGCACGAATTCATGCACCAGGCCTCTAGTATTTTATAACACCCTTCTGCTATCCTGAAATATCATTAATAGGTGATTTACCCTACCCCTACACATAGAACTTGTTCTAGGGGCTTAACTTACTCTAGCCATTATTCATTCACGCATATATTTTTGAGTACGTATTGTTTCCCAGACACTGAGCAGGAAGGGACAAGGGACCTCAAAGATTATTCAGTCCATCCCCAGAACTGTCTAGGAAGAAGGGGGTACTTTTTCCATATATTTACCTCCTCAGGGCTGAGGGACTCCGAGTACTACCCACCTTTCTGTGATTGAAGGAAAAGTTCCACTTAAAAAAGAAAGTTGAAAGCTATGAATTAAATCCAATTCACGTCATCTTGCAGATGAAGACCCTGAAGCTCAGAGAAGTTATTTAATGCCAGAGATGGGACTAGAAGTCAGACTAGAACTCTGGCAAAAATGCTCTTTGTGCTTTTCACCATGCTGACCGGCATGTTTCCTGTTCAGAATTTCATAATGTGTTTGATGGAGTAAAATGCCTGCCTAACATATACTTGCAGCCGTGAGATTCAGCATTACTGGAAAAATAAAGAGTGCATTTTACTATACATTTAAAGTCAGTGATTTAGAAACAAATACCCTGAAGAGATCCATGTCAACCCTGTAAAATCTTGGGAAATTCGTCAGCTCAGAGGCCATCCTAACAGCCTAGCAGCAAAGAATTATTGACATTTAGGAGGTGAAGGTATAGGCATCAATTCTTGATCTGAAGGAACTTTTCAGCAACAAGCTCTTCTTTTAAAAGCCACCCTTTGAAGTGATTGTTTGTCCAACCTCTACCTGAATATATCCAGTAACAGGGAGCTCACTGCTTTCTGCTTCAATCCTTGCCGTCTTTGAACAGCTTTTAGAGTTAGCAACTAGGTGAAATTTTTGTTGACTTTCTGTAGCCTTACACTCCATCTCCCCCTTGACTTTCCTACCTCTTGATTTGCGAAATCACTTAAGGTTAAAGAAAATACAAACCTTTTCTCATTCTGGGTATAGTGTTTCAGCCTGGTGGAGACATAAAGCAAATGCATCTTTACAATCATATGTTGTAAATTTGGACCCTGTGTCCACTCTGATCCTGCAGATCCCATTTGGCACCGAGGTCGAAGGGATGAACATTCTGGGATTGGTCCTTTTTGCCCTCATGTTAGGAGTGGCCCTAAAGAAACTAGGCTCTGAAGGAGAAGAGCTCATCCGTTTCTTCAATGCCTTCAACGAGGCGACAATGGTGCTGGTGTCGTGGATTATGTGGTGAGTCTTGCTGCCCTCCCCCCTGCTGTCAACCCTCCCTCTTATCTCTCCTCCATCCAGAAAAGAACCTGACTCTGCTGTTCTAGGTCACCTCTGGGTCACCACCTGGCCCAGGGCTCTGTATGTGGTTGATGCACCCCCAGGTGGGTCCTGGTGTGATAGAGCTGGAGGCAGTTTCCCCTCCTGTCCAGGACCTCAGAGAATCAGGCATGTACCATAGTTACCAGTTACTTCTTCAGCACCCACAGTGACCCCTTATGGTTCTACCAGAGGCCCAGTGCATGGATTCATGCACCAGTGGGGTCCCTCAGCATGGCCTGCAGGGATCGGGCCGAAATCAGCTCTCCAACATCTCCCGAGGGGTCCCTGATTATGAGAGGGCGGTTCTCAGGTGACACACCCCAGAATCAGGCTCCCTCCTCTCTGTTTCCTCTAGGGTGCGTCACCCTAGAACTGCAGCTGCCAAGTCACCACAGCTGCCAAGTAACCACAGCTCAGCAGCTCCTGCATTGAGCATCTGCCCCCTGGTGGTCCGTGTGCATCATAGCTACTGGTCAAACAATCAGACAGTCACTTAGGCTTTTATATATATAGATCATCAGTGATCTACTTATGGGTTCACACCATCATCCCATATTATATGTGATGCCCATATCATCTTGTGGAGCAATGAATTCCATAAGTTTTCTATCTGCTCTGTGAAATAAGGCTTATTTATCTTAAACTGATAGACCTAAAGCTTCAGAGGGGCCCTTTACTACCATATTTCACTACATGGAGGACAGATTCATGCATATGTAAACTTGGAATAGTCTCTTTTTTTTTAACCTAAATGTTTCTGTAGGTAGTATTAATGAAAATGTAATTGTTTAATACAAAATTATTAGATTGATTTTTGGCTAAAAGGTAAAATTTTGACCTGATTCCTCAGAAATTATACTAATTCCAGTGGCCATCCCTCGTCAGCTTCATCCTGCTGTTTCACTCAGGCCAGATTTCTGTGGATTTTAGCATCTATCCATTCATTGTCAGGAAACTAGTTTATCCTTTCATGCACAAAGCATTTTCCTAACTGTCAATCCTTACATATCCCAGAACTTCTCTCTCTCAATGGCATTGAGGTGGCACCTGAACTGACCAAATTCCAGGAGAGAAGCCTGGAATTTGGTAGGAAAGTTTGGAATTGGGTGGGAGGCCAAGTCCAAAGCCCCCACTGGTGGTGTTTCTTTTGCTCAACCACATTTTCTTGCTCAACCAACATTCCAGAGGCTGACTCTTATCATTGCAAACATGACACTTTGTTCGTATGATTGTTGTTCTGGGGAGAGAAATAGTTCCAGGAAGGAAAAAGTGTTGTCATCACAGGTCAGTTCCTTTCCTGGGTTTTTTTGTTTGTTTGTTTTCTGTTGTTTATTTTGTCTAAAATCTTCCCAAAATTTGGATTAAAAGAAAAGACATGGTCACTGATAGTGACTAGTAACCACTACACAGAGGTAGATCTCCTGCCAGGTCCTGCCCCCAGCCTTCACTTTTTTTATGGAAAAGTACTTAAAACATGTGCACAACTTAATGAATTATCACTTAATGAATTATCACTGTCACAAGCAAACACTCATCCAGATCAAGAAATAGAACTTGCCAGCACTTTCAGAGGTCGCTCTTATCCCCCTCCAACCGCTGCCCCCTCTCTCCACCTGAAGAAGGGAACTGAACTGACTTCTAACCCTGTAGACCTGAAAGGTCACAGGTTTGATTCCAGTCAGGGCACATGCCCAGGTTGCAGGCTCGATCCCCAGTAGGGGGCATGTAGGAGGCAGCCAATTGATGTTTGGTTCTTACATCGATGTTTCTCTCCCTCTCCCTCTCTGTCTAAAAATCAATTTTTGAAAATCGTTTAAAAATAAATAAAATTTATCAAAAAAAAAAAGCCAATGGTTATAAAATTCTTCCTCAATTTAGATTAAATTCAAAACAACTGACTTTGGTTCTTTGCAGCTCCCCTGGTTTGCTCCTTCCCTTCCTTCCTCTCGTCCTGCCATTGAAAAATCCCTTCACGCTCCAGGAGTGTTCCCAGAGGGCCATTGTTAATGACTTTCTCCCACGGAATCATGTTTCCCAAATCACCAAGAATTTTAAGCCTCACAAAAACCCCAGCTTCGTCTCAGTTCTACGAAATCGGTACTAGTCTTTTGTGTCTCTAAGTTTTCAGAAACAAGCCTGAGCAAAGCCGAAAGTCGGACTGCATTCCCAGCGGCTGTGATCTCGAGCAGTTCCTTGTCTTTCCACTCGGGAGTCCCTGTGGTCAGTGACAGCCATCTGTTCAGAACATCATATCCCAGGGGAAAGAAGCCTGGGTTCTGATCCTGACTCCGTTACCCATGGAGACGTGTCATGTCAATTTTACTCAGTTTCACAGCCTGCAAAATGGGCCCATCCCTTTCATTCTCAGAATCCTCCCAGGGGGAGATGAAGGCCGCCTCGTTGAACGTCCCTGTGTTGAGTGGGGAAGGGCCTGCGTCTCCCGGCCCCTACGTCACATCACTCTTACTGACAAGGACCTTGTGCTCATGCCCTAGGTATGTACCTGTGGGCATCATGTTCCTGGTTGGAAGCAAGATTGTGGAAATGAAGGACATTGTCATGCTGGTGACCAGCCTTGGGAAATACATCTTTACGTCTATGTTGGGCCATTTTATTCATGGAGGAATTGTTCTGCCGCTTATTTACTTCGTTTTCACACGAAAAAACCCATTCAAGTTCCTCCTGGGCCTCCTCACACCATTTGCGACAGCATTTGCCACCTGCTCCAGGTGAGTGGGTTTCGGGAGCCCTTGATGGCTCTGAGCTGTGTTGCTATGAAACCAGGTGAGCCCAATGGTAGATGCACAGCTGGCCTCTTAACATATTTCATTCTTTGAAAACTCTAAATTGGTCTTATTTGTTGTGTTATCAGCCCCACAGCTCTTAGGGAAATGGATTTCTGGGATTGCCAAAATGAGGAATTGCCTTGTTTCTTCTTCTTCTGGCTCCTTGATAGTCATCCTGACGTTATTTAGGCCATAGGAACTGTGGTCCTCACCCTAATTAGTAAGCCCTTTGCCTGAGTCAAAGAAAGCAGCCACTTAACTCAAAATGCATTGCAGGGAAGTTGCTAGAATGTTACCTGTCCAGGTCTCCCTCTGGATGCATGACTAGAAAATAAACCAAGGCATCATGGTGAGGGATGCCTGCTCAGCTCTCTAGGATTATCTAACTTAGCATAAAAGATGCACCTGTCGTTATCAGAAATCTTTCACACACAAAAAGTGGGGGGCTTTCTAAATACATTAATGAAAACTTTCCAAGGACGGCAGCACGTTGTTTCCCTCTCCTGCTTAGCTTTTGCCTCTCTACCGATGCTTCCTCCCGTCCTGAAGGGCCAGTCATATGACCAGGTAGTGTTGGTACAAAGGATTAGGGAGGCGAGGTTCTCTGGCTTCGACAGAAACAAACCTGCTCCTCAACTGCTCCAGCCGCCCTCCTCGGAGGCCGCTGGAGAGAACAGGTTTCGTTTATCCAGTTATCTGTGAACACAGTTACTCTTTCCAAATGCTCAGAGCCATTTCTGCTCCTTGGCCTAAAAGAAGAAAAGAAACCATCATGGTTTTTTGCCATGTACTTTTTTTTTTTTTTTTGTCAAGAGAGGAGGTGCACTTATGGAGTCAACAGTTCTTTGTTCTCTTGAGAACTTTTTGTGCCACAAGGTCAAGTGTGGTTCTTGAGAAATTGGGAACAGGTGCATCCAGGTAAGGAACACAGCAGGTCAGTGTGAGTCGGGTTCTGAATGCTTCGGGAGTTGACAAAAACCCACGCTGTGACAGAAACTTTGAAGCCGTTGTGATGTTCCTTGTGTTCCGGGGGAGAAAGCCAGGAACGAGGGTGGTGCTCGTGGTTCCGGTCCAGGGCCTGAGCCGAGCGGTCTGCTGCCCTTGGAAGCACTGTTCTCAGGGTCGGTTGTGTCTCCATTTCCAGCTCAGCAACCCTCCCCTCCATGATGAAGTGTATCGAAGAGAACAACGGTGTAGACAAGCAGATCAGCAGGTTCATTCTCCCCATCGGGGCCACCGTGAACATGGACGGGGCGGCCATCTTCCAGTGTGTGGCCACCGTGTTCATCGCCCAGCTCAACAACATCGAGCTGAAGGCAGGGCAGATCTTCACGATTCTGTGAGTTCATTCCTCCCTCCTAACTCTAGGCCTGGGTCAGAACCTGAGGGATTTCTTGTGATTTCCTTTGAAAAATCCTGCTAAGTACCCATCTGGCCAGGACACGGCATCGCATTTATGAAATGAGCACAGTGTGAATCCACTACTTGGAGAGAGTGCATTGTCTCTCGCAGGCTCATCGGGCAGAAAATTCAAAGTAAACATCATTACATAAAAGGGTACGGTCTTCTTTTTTTTTTTTTTTTAGTTTTATTCATTTCAAATGGGCCAGATCCGCCCCACGGGCCGTAGTTTGCCCACGGCTGGTCTAGGGTCATGTGGTTTTCCGTTGCTGAGCCATGGCTGCCATGTTCTGCACTTCTCTGTGCCCCCTCCACGCTCTGTGTTCATGGTGACCCTGCTGTGCCTTCCCTAGAGTGACAGCCACGGCGTCCAGTGTTGGAGCAGCAGGCGTGCCGGCCGGAGGGGTCCTCACCATCGCCATTATCCTGGAGGCCATTGGGCTGCCCACTCATGATCTCTCTCTGATCCTGGCTGTGGACTGGATTGTGTAAGTAGCAAGTCCTACCTAAGGGCATGGAACAAAGGAAAGTCTGTCTTGAGCTCCCTAGGGGCTTGGCACTCCCCTCGACCTGAGGCGTGTGGAGAAACTTCAAACATGCTCCCTGCCTTGTGAAGGAGCCCGCAGTTGAGCTGGCAAGACAAAACTTAGAGCTAGGAAAAGTTAACAACATGAGTCAGAGGCTCATGAATGACCATGAAATATTATTCCCAAGAACTTGCTTAGAGCATCCGGGAAAGCATGGGGAGAAGGGGGAGGGCACTAAAATCTGTGGAAGTTGTTGGTTCCGTAGGAGTCATAGCCATGGGTGCAGTGAGCCTTTGGGAATGATAGTCCTTGGCCAGAAATGCCCAGAGAGTGATTTCTGTGAGGAGAGGGAAGATGAACCCGGTTAATGGGAATGCCTTGGGCTCGGGGGAGGAGGTGTAGGAAGGAGGTGTGATTCGGCCGGCCATCGGCAGAGTTCCTGTAGACACAGAACAGTTTCTGAGTGCTGATTCCTTGAGTTGAGTGCTGATTCCTTTTTCAGGTAGGGGCGATACCTATTTTATAGGGAAGGTTAGCTGAAGTACTAGTGTTGGACAGTAGAGCATGTGGAGAAGAAAATGAGCCTTAGAGTCCAGGAACCTGGGTATCTATTACTTTTATAAGAAAAAAAATTATAAGAACATTCACCTAAAGTGAAGCCTTATGCCCTTAGGAGCATGCACTCTGGGTAAGAGCAGGGGCCCCGGAGGGTCACAGCTTGCCCGTGGCCTTGGCCCCTGTGACGGGGCTGCCCCCAAGTGGCTGCCGCCGGTGGCATTGGCTGGACCGCCTACCTTTCCTTCCCCACCAGGGACCGGACCACCACCGTGGTGAATGTGGAGGGGGACGCCCTGGGTGCGGGCATTCTCCACCACCTGAATCAGAAGGCGATGAAGAAAGGGGTGCAGGAACTGACCGAGGTGAAAGTGGAAGCCATCCCCAACTGCAAGTCAGAGGAGGAGACGTCACCGCTGGTGACACACCAGAACCCGGCGGGCGGCCCTGCTGCCATCGCCGTGGAACTGGAATCCAAGGAGTCGGTTCTGTGATGGGGCTGGGCTTCCAGCTTGCCTGCCATCGGTCGTGCCCACACTGTCAGTCCAGGCACCGGACACCGGGCGCCGCCCACCGCCCTCACCAACTTAAGCCTCCGGGCAATGTGTTGGCCCAATCACAGGTTTGTGAATCACTTCTCAGCACAGGCAGTGGGCTGCTGAGCCAGACCTGGTTCCTGGGGACTCGGACACAGACATGCAGCTTGATCCCCATCTAGATGCAACCATGTGCGCGCACCAGGGTCCGTCTGAAACACGCCCTCGAGCTGCCAGGCTCGGGGAAACAACAGGCTCGGCAAAGCTTGGGAACATGCAGGTGTGCCCTTCCCTGCACCCAGTCACTGCGGTGGGTGCTTTCCAGGCAAACTTAGGGGGTTTGCAGTCATCGGTCACATTGCCTTGCGAGCCTTAGTGATTGGAAAATTCCCAAATTCTTCGCCTTGAATGGAATTCGCTGAGCTGGGACTCCGGGTGTTAGAGTTTGTGCTTTCAATTAGGTGCAGCTGGCTTCTGGTTCAAGGGTTGTTGGTGGACTGGCGCTGCTGCACATTGTCAAGTTAGAAATACTCCAGATGGTGGCAGGGCTGCTGGCTTCTCTGGTCAGAGGCACTGAGTACACTGTCAGTGCTGAGATCAAAGAAAGGAGCGGGAATGCAGCCTGCAGGGGAAAGGGAAGCATCTTAACCAGACAGGATGCACACACACACACACACACACACATTCTCATTCTCCTCCCAGCCCTGGGGAAGCTTGCAGCTTCGTGACCTGGGCCTCTGACAACACTATAGCTTCCTCGCCATCTACTCTGCTGCAGGACCCTGGTTGGTTTCTCAATCTACTATTTTTTGTTGTTGTTAATCCTCCTGAGGGTCTATGCCCCCCCTCCCCACCCCCTGATTTTTTAGAGAGAGTGGAAGGGAGGGGGGGGAGACAGAGACACATCAATTGGTTGCCTCCCACACGCACCCCAACCAGGGCCAGGGATCAAGCCTGCAACTGAGGTACGTGCCCTTGACCGGAATCAAACCCGGGCCCTTTCGGTCTATGGGCTGACATTCTTACCACTGAACTGAAACGGCCAGAGATTTATTTTTATTTTTATTTTTTTTACCTAAGTGATACCTCTCTCCAAAGCCCTTGGTCTCCTGGTGAAGACAACGTTTATGATGGGGCTTTGCTTTCTGTGCAGTAGCCACTTCCTCACGCCGCTCATTCTCTGTGTACTTCCTCAGCAGCATCAGAGGCAGCCTCTCCTAGGTCCTCCAAGGTGTCATGAACTAGCCATCTCCCCTGCCATTGCATTTCCAGGTACCAGCTTCCCGGTGACTCCCAGGCCCAGGCCCCGTGTCTGCCACCCCCTCCACAGGCCGTCAGAGCTCCCAGACGTTCACCCTCAGCCATTCCCTTGTTTTCCCTGTTGCTGTGGTTTCGCTGTCTGTCACCCAGGCCCTGCAGAAGGGACACACACCTTTGTGATACGTGTTCCATTGCGATGAGTCTGGGTGGATGGCACAGAGATCGCCACTCCTCTGTTGTAAAATCAGAGAGGCCCGAGCCTCAGCCAAAGGGGTGAGGAGGAGCCAGGAGGCACAGAGCTGATCCAGCTCCCCGAAACCTTTAAACCAGCGAAGCCACACCCCTTTCCTGTGACGCCTGGAGTGACCAGGAACTGAGCTGAGGTGTCTCAAAACCTTTACCGGCTGGCTAGAGCTTGCTGATACCCTTCTGTTTTCAGAGGGGGAGACAATCACATTGATTACAAACGGCAAATGGACATTCGCTGCTTCTAAGGCTTTAGTATATTTTGTCTTTCCCCTTTGGCATCCTGATTTTCCTGTTTCTAATGGTGAATTTCACAAAACAAGGACATTAGAGCTGTGCAGTGAGACCCAGTGACTGCACGTTATCTATGCTGTGCCTGGAAATGCAGTAGAGAGTGCTCGGCCTGAAGCAGGGTTCTTCCCGATGGTGATCACCCCCTCCCCTGGGAGGGAGTAGGTGCTGTTTTTCTGTCTGTTTCTCCGTGCACAAGAGCAATCCGACCAGGAGTGACCTGGCTGGGAAAAGTCCCACTTTCTCATTGTCTGAAGATGTCTCCCGCAGGATTCTCTTGTAACTCGTTGTAAATACTGTTGCGGTACCGTTCATCTCTGTTTTGTATGTGTGACATTTGCCTTAAACATAGCAGTCTTCAACGATGAATACAGTGTTTCTACGAGGATCTGCGTTCCTGTCTTCCTTTCTTGTGTTTTGAACTGGCATATACCGATGGAGCTCTTTACTAGGCAAGGACCTGTGGGTGACTGAGGTGACTTATTTTCTAGCTGTTGGCCAGCAGGACCCCCGAGGCAGGTAGGCCCGCTCAGGTGAGCAAAGCTGCTGCAGGGCCGTCACTGATTTAGCTTCCGGCTGGTGATGGCCAGATGCTTCTGGGCGTCTCCCATTCAACACTAGCAGGGCTCTTGCGAAAAGCGAGGAGTTCTGCCACATACTTCCATAAAGTTAAGTTTTTTTAGGACAACTAGGTCAACGGGCCTGAATTACTCAGCAAGTCCCTGCATCAGGCAGTTGCCCGAGCCTCTACCATCATCACCACCACACCCAGCCCATTCTTTTATGTATAATCCCGTTTTAAGTGACACCACATTCCAGCACAATTAGGGAATTTAGAAACCTCTCATAATGAGATTATCCTACAAACTCATGCTGGAGGCTAGTTTCCACTCCCTCAGGCTCCTGACGAAACAAGTCCTCATTCTGGCCTGGACATTTCCAGCTCTTCGTACTGTACAGACAATATGATTTTAATTTCTGGGCAAGGCCCAAGAGACGAGGAGGGAGTTTGCCCAGATCAAGGGCCTGATGGGGCTTGTTGCTAATGAAATTTAGGTTCCCACCCTGGCGTGCAGCTGCCCTGAATCTGTTATGGAGAGTGTTTGGAGGCTGAGATGAGTACTCGCTGGTTCAGCTTTCACACGGCCATATCAAGAGGAGCAGTTCTGTAAGCTGCCTCTTCCAGGTTCGCAGTGACCTGCGGGGTCACCTGAGCCTGTTCAGGGAAACTTCCGATGGCATCTGTGAATGGCATAGTGGCCAGTGGTTCTCAACCTTCATGATGCCGCGACTCTTTAATACAGTTCCTCATGTTGTGGTGACCCCCAATTTCATTGTTACAAATTGAATATAATTAAAGCATAGTGATTAATCACAAAAACAATATGTAATTATATATGCGTTTTCCGATGGTCTTGGGCAACCCCTGTGAAAGGGTCACGATCCACAGGTTGAGAACCGCTGGGTAAACCATGTAGCAAGGAGGATCGTGCACTGCCTGGGGTCCAGTCCCAGCTTTGCCACTTGCTTGCTTGTGACCCTGGGCACAATAACCTCTCTGTACCTTAGTCTCCTCATCTTTAAAATGGGAATAATGATTGTACCAATGGCATAGGCTATTGTGAAGAGGAAAAGAGTTAATATATGTAAAGTGTTCCACAAGGTGCCTGGTACGTGGAACATAATCTGTCAGCCTTGGTCTCAGACACAGAGTGGCAGGAAAGTTTCCCAACCAGCCTGTGTCCCTTTGTGTTCCGGCCCAAGAGGCGTGCTCATGAAGAGACAGAGAGAAGATATATTTCAATCCTGGGCTCTCCTGCTGACCCATGCCTGTGTAGTATGGGAGTGGGCCCATTTTGAACATGTGTTCTAAAAATATTTGGACGACTGCTTAGAAGGAACTGGGCCTTATAAACAATTGTCAGGATGCACTGGAATGCCCTTATTCACAAAAGCAGCCCTCCGCTCGAGCCTTCCTCTCTTCAGCTCTATCCTCCCAAGTTGCAGTCCAGGAAGCAGCAGCTCCCAGCAATACCCTGCCTTCTGGAGAGGAATGTGCTCTCCTGGCTGAAGTTTGGCCCCTATTTATCATACTCAGGATGGGGGGGGCGGGGGCGGGGTGGACGAAGGCAGGTTCGGGTGTGGGGGCTCTGGTCTGCCTCCCAGTCTCAGGACCCTCCACCTGCAGGCCCCTTTACTTGGGGCTCAGTGAGTGAGACTGCACAGGGAGAGGGATGCTCTTAATTCATTTGAAAGCAACCTTCCCCCTCTTAAAGGAAAACAGCCACGAGTCCTCACTGGTTTTTCATCTTTTCAGAGTAGAGCTGAGGATCCTAAAATGTATCAAATCAGAGTCTCAAACCTGATTTTTGTTGTTGTTTTTGAAATAATAATATATCAGTGTTGGGCGGGATTTTAGCCAATTTAGGATTATTTGGAGCAAGACCCGAGACTGAGCTGAGAGCTTGGGGGCTCTCGGGTGGTTTGTAACAGATGCACTTACCTCAGGTCTGAGGGCACAGGGGTCCCAGGCTCCGCCTTCAGGGAGAAAGACAATCATGCCTGAAGCTCAGAGTGTTCCTTCTTTGAGAGGACAGTTTCAGGGGTGCCCTGAGGTCAGCAAAGAGCGTCTCTTCACTTTTTTTAGATTATAACTTTATTGAGATCTAATCCACACATCATAAAATTCACCCTTTTAAATTGTATAATTCAGTGGCTTCTAATATATCCAGAGTTGTGCAACCACCACCACAATCTACTTCCAGAGGAGTTTCATCACCCCCAAAAGAATCCCAGGGCCTCTGGTAACCACTAATCTACTCCGCTTGTGTGGATTCGCCTATTCTGGACATTTCACATATATGTGGTATCTAGCTGTACATCCCAGATACAGAGAATTGATGTTCAGAAAGTAATCACCGCCCACCTTCACTACATGCATGCTCCCACACACACTCAAAGGAGATCCTATAAAATCCTCTTGATCACCAAATACAGACTCAATCATTCTAGCCTGTTGAGCCCCTCCCCTCCCTCCCCCCTCCCGCAAAAGAATTTCTGATTATAGGGCTAACAAGAACACTTAAACAATTTGAAGAGCCTCCTCCCCAAACATGTATAAGCAGTGAAGGTCTATGTATCTAGACCACATGCTAAGTTGAAATGTGGTCTGGATCCAGGCGACTTTTTCTGCTGACATCCCTGCCAACCGCACTGTGCACTTCCACGCGGCACCGTCCACGCCATGCTCTGCGTGAGTGACGCCCCTGGAGTTGCGCGGCGCACAGCCCTCACCGCTGCACACGGCAGCCCTGAACTCCGGAGGCGGGCTCCAGGTAAGAGACTTGACTCACACTCACACAGGTCTGCCCTATAAATTAATTTCTCCTTTTTAATAAGTGGAGGCTAATGAGTCTCAGAGGCAATGCCTCCTTCTTCAGCGTCACTGCGCAGGTTGGTTTTCCTGGTGTTAGTGCGCCCGTCCGTCACAAGGCATCTGGGTTTGCCGCTAGGCACTTTGTAGCATCAATGGAACTTCTCTCTCTCTAGTCCGCAGAGCAGCCTGGGCTGGGCGGTGGGATGGCTCACAGGCTCCCCTTGCCTCCAGCCAAGCCCCTGGAAGAGAACCAATCTCATGACCAAAGGGCAGCCCGGGGTCTTGTGAGGGGAGGTGAATGCATCCCGTCCCTCCAGAAACACAAGAGCAACCAGGCCCATGATGAAGAGGCCAGGCGCCAGAGGGCAACGCTGTAGGTGCAATGAGACTGGTCTACAGGGTGAGGAGTCAGGCCAGTCCCCTTCCTCAGGTGGACAGAGCGGGCAGCGGGTGGGAGGGGGACAAGGGGGACCGCTGGAAGGGCTGGCAAGTTCTGTTTCTTGATCTGGATGAGTGTTTGCTTCGTGATAATTCATTATGTTGTGCATATGTTTTATGTACTTTTCCACAGGTGATACTTCATTAGTGGAGTATGTGACTTTCGTGGGGTCTTGGTGCTTTTCCTTCATGGGCCCTTCCTCCATTAAAACATATTAAAGATTATATTTCATAACTGTGTTGATCTATGGACCAATATAATCCAGACTGGATTCTATCCTTCTGATTTTAAAATATCTTTGTGGGTCCCTAAAAAAAAGGTGAGGACCAGGGGGCAGGACCTGGCAGGCAATCTAACTCTATGTCCTGGTTACTAGTCACTTTGGATGATCATGTCTTTTCTTAGGCGTCCCCCTCACCTCTAGCCAAGCCCCTCTAAGAGAACCAATTGGAAATTGGAAATTCTCTCAGCTAATTTCATCTTGGTCATCAAGAGCAGGGGCCAGCCAATCATAGCCCACCACTTGTTTTTGTGTGCCCTTGACACTGCTCCAGAAGACAGCATTGTGAGCTAAGCCAGGGTGGCCCCCTCCCCCTGTATCAGGGCTGACTTACCCATTAAGCATAGTACATACAGGGCTTATGACCCCCAATACTTTTAGGGATCCACAAAGATATTTTAAAATCAGAAGGATTGCCGGGCGCGGTGGCGCGCACCTGTAGTCCCAGCTACTCGGGAGGCTGAGGCTGGAGGATCGCTTGAGCCCAGTTCTGGGCTGTAGAAAAAGAAGGATAGAATCCAGTCTGGATTATATTGGTCCATAGATCAACACAGTTATGAAATATAATCTTTAATATGTTTTAATGGAGGAAGGGCCCATGAAGGAAAAGCACTAAGACCCCACGAAAGTCACATGCAGCCCTGGCCCCTGTTCTGCCTTCCACTCCCAGCGCCGGCCTCCCTGGGGAAGGGTCACATCTCACCCCTGCCAGGGCCCATGCTGGTCACCACAAACATGTTGGGGACTTTGCTATTGGCAACAGCTGGGGACTAAGGCATGGAATCCCAGCTCAGGAGTCAGCAACTGGGAGAGTTGCTCCGCTCTGGCCAGTGGCCCCAGCTGAGACGATTGGACTTGTGCTCCAGGGTCTAGATGACACTGACAGAGTGAAACTGACTGGTAACCAACTGTCCTTCCCCCACTGTCCATCAAACCCACCCCCATCAGGCCAGTGGCTCTTTGTCTCCATCTGATGGCAACTGGTCATCACCTTTGCCCACCACTGGGGATGGCCCATCCAGGCGAGTGGGTGGTGGGGCAGGGCAGAGTTTTCTCTTCTCTACATAAGAACCTACTTCATATCTTCGATTTGACCTCTTGTCCCAGAAAGCCTAAGTAACTTATGATCTGATCCGTTATGGAAAAAGTTGGCCAACGCCTTCTCTAAAGAAAATATGTCCCCACTCTCCTGACCCATCTGCCACTGGTATTGTTTGATGGAAACTGGAAAGCCGTGTAACCTGTGCTGCACTGTTCAGCCCAGGAAAGAGGGCTCAGCCAGCTCAATCTTGGGACAGCAGCCGCCTGAGGTGCAGGTTGGCTGGCTGGAATTTTTGCTAGCTGGAGGGACACTCCAAATGGCCCTCAGCGATCCCTGACTGCTAGTGTTTGGAGGGGTTCAGAACAAGCCACCCCAAGATGGGCCTTGGTGATATGCAGATTACTTTGAGATAAAGGCAATTTTAGCTTCAGGCTTAAAAGAAACTTTGGCTCCTCTCTGTAACTACTTTCTACAAGACAAGGCAAACTTCTATTTACTAAATGTCTGCTATATATATATTCAATATATATATAATTGATTTCAGAAAGGAATGGAGCGGGAGAGAGTGATAGAAACATCAATGATGAGAGTCGTTAATCAGCTGCCTCCTATGCTGGGGATCAAACCCGTGACTTGAGCATGTGCCCTGACTGGGAATCGAGCCCTAACCTCCTGGTTCATAGGTTGACGTGCAAACACTGAGCCACACCAGCCGGGCATGTCTGCTCTTTTTATCATCCTGCAATGACCCTTTGAAGCCCCCAAGGCACCCTACCTCATCCCTAGCTCAGGATGCCTTTCTTATATTCCTCAATCCCCCTTTCTATCTCTGAACCTCTCATGCATGTGGGAATCTCTGAATCTCATGTATGTGGGGTTCCCATATATATGTATTAAATTTAGTTCTTTTCTCTTGCTAACCCGTCTCACGTCTATTTGATTAGTCAACCAACCAGAAGAACCTTGAGGATAGAGGAAAGTTTGTTCCTCTCCGTATGTTCATACCCTTGTCCAGCTCCCATCCCCACCATACAGGCCTGGTCTTGTGTAAGAGATAGCCTTTGGACAGGAAGCTGGCCTCCAGCCACAACTGCTATTTGGTAGAAAAACCTGTGTGGCTACTTCATCTTGAACCCTCAGATGTCCACAGAGAGAGGAGAAAAAGCCACATTCACAGGAAAGAGTAGGGCAAAGTGGGAAGCCCCACCCAGCGGTTCTCAGCCTCGAGGGCTCATTAGGATTCCCTGAGCTTAAACAAAATGCCAGAGCCCTACCCACGGAGACTGATCCCATCAGCCTAGTGTGGGACCTGGTGATTTCCATTTTTTAAAAAGTCACAGGTGATTCTAATATGTGAACCACTGAGCTAGTATAATATTTATAAGAAATATATATATTTGGTCTGTGCCCACAGTTCCTGGCTCATAGCTCCCCCAAACCTTGGAATTTCCTGAGCAATTAGAGCAGAGGAGGCATCTTTTGTTACAATATTTGGTCTCTTGGCCTCCATTCCTAAAAGTGCTTCCCAGCCATAAAGGTAAGATGGTTCTTGTTATTTATAACCAGCCCCTTTCAACCACGACTGAGTTTATGTTCATGAGGTGACTTGTACCCAAGGAGGGGGCTGGTTGTCAGGAGAATCCACAATGTGTCTGGAGGTTGGAACTTTCAGTCCCACCCCTAACCTCCTGGGAGAGGGGCCAGAGGTTGAACTGATTGCCATGATTTCATCAGTCCTGCCTAAGTCGTGAGGCCTCCATGCGAACCCAAAAGGATGAGGCTCCCAAAGTTACCAGGTTAGTGAGCACGTGGAGGTGAGGGGAGAGTGACACTTGCAGAGAGCGCATGGGAGCTCCTTGCCCTTGTCCTAGGCATCCCTTTCATCTGTGGATTCTTACGTTATAAACCAGTAATCTAGTGAGTAAACCATTTCCCACGTTCTGTGAGCCACGCTAGCAAATCAATCAAATGTGAAAACACCTGACATATAGCCAGTTGGTCAAAAGTTCAGGTGACAGCCTGCCTGGGCTTGCAACTGGCATCTGAAGTGGAGGCAGTCCTACAAGATGGAGCCCTTACCTTACCCTGTGGGATCTGATGCTATCTCCAGCTAGATAGTGTCCGAATTGAGTTGAATTGTAGGACACCCAGCTGGTGTAGGAGAATTGCTTGGTCGTGTGGGAGGTTTCCCACACACGCTGGAATCTGGCATTAGAGTTGCAGTTAGCCACTGTCTCCTCTCTTAGCACAGGTGCCTTCTGTCGCTGTCGAGCAGAGAGATCTCCATGCGGCTTTCAATGCCTATATTCCACTTTCCCGCCAGCTGCCCTTTTGTGCCAGAGAGGTAGACTACCCTAGTGGTGTCAGATTTAAAGCTGAGACTGCCATTCACATGAGGGATCGCAGTATTGAAGAACAGAGTTGACATAGGTTTTTTTCCCAATACCTGT